TGAGAAAATAAAAAGTATAGACAGGTGCCTGGAATTTGGTGAGGCGAGTAAATTTTGATAAAAGTACGATGGGTGGTTCTATTCCCGAACAGAGCGGGTCAAAAGTAAGAAGAATAGGGTAAGGGTAGACAACTTTTCTCAGCAATATCTGAGCTCGATCCTTTCTCCGTAAAGCAAACATTTCGGTCCTGTCGCCTTCGTTTTAGCTTGGAAGATAAACGCTATCTGAGATCCATGCTTATCAAACAGTATTTAGAAGCTCAACATATGTAGTTCAAACATAGACTGAAAACACCGGTCTTGTAAACCACGACTTATGTAAGCTGCTTTGATAGGGGCAAACTTAGATTTTTTTTTGACTTTCAAATCTGACGAAGGCGATAAGGCTGAAACGTCGGCGAAATAAAATTGTGACATTTGTTTTATTTTATTTATTTTATTTAGTTCAGACGTCATGGTTTTACCGAGGCTTTACTATAACACCTAAGACATCAACAAATCATTCATCCGAGGTTGGATAATACTCTATTCAGGCATCACAGTTCACATCATACTTGGCAGATTTCCGCCAGGTCTACATATTCATGACTTCAATAGGTAATGATTGCAAACGAGCTCTGAATGACATACCTCTGGACCTGCATAGCTGAATATGATTCTGTAGTCACTGAAGGTATTCAGGGCATCGAAAAATGTGGATATTATCTGAACAGAAAGTGGTTGAAAAAGTGTTTCATATGTTTGTCGAGTGAGGATTTTAGATGATCAGTGATTTTCTCGTTTTCAAATGAAATGAATGTCTAGAGAGGAAGTGCAGTGTTGCGAAAACTCTTCTTGAGCACCGGTGGTTACTCCTACTCGCTTCAGTTCGCTTGCATTACCACTCTCACTGGTTGACAGCTTGAAATCCCACTCAGGCCTTTCCCACACCGCCTACGGTACCATCAATACTTTTAGAAAATGGGCAAAGAATTTTCCAAAAGCGCTCTTATTACTCAAAAAGAGCCGTGATGCTTTCGATTCTAGAGGGTCCATTCATTCCAAGGGCTTCTTGGCTCGAATTCTCGTGGAACTATCCATACCCACCACCAAAAGCCTACCAATCGCTGCAAGGAGAAGCCATGTTTTTGCTCCTAGAAATGAAAATCCTATTGTTACAGAAAAGTCTACAGAATGCCCACATATCGATTCCAACACACCCACACCGAACTGATAGCCCCGACCCCCTTGCTTTCATCGGAGCGCTCAGTTTTTCTCCATTAACCTCAGATCGATCCGAAGAATTTTCAAAAATTTCTCTGAATCAAACCTCTGGTTTAGCCGCATTCCAATTAACAAGAGATCCAAATGCTATGTATATCGTTCCTTTTGAAGTTGGATCCTCAACAAAGCTCTTCAGATCCGGTGGAAGTTCCTTTGATCCTGTAATTGGAATCCTTTAATGAGACTGTTTACAAGAGTAAAATGGCAAAAATTGTAAGCAAACCTTGACAATATTCACCGACGTGAATCAGATCTGTTCCTATGGGAGAGGGGTAGCCATAGCCCGATGGAAAATCCGTCAAACTGGCATGGGAAGCCTTTCAATAATCACGATCAATAACAATCGATCAGTCGGTCCATTTATGGAGTCACTACGTTTCTAGAAGTAGTCCGAACCTCGAAAATGGTATCATAGGAGTTGTAGACGTTCAGCACTTCACCAGCTTTTTTAAGCCATCGATTACATGCGATCACGATGTAG